TCATTGAAGTACCCTCTTCCCCATCACAGCAAGTCAGCAGACGTTTCTATGTTAAATATTCAATATTCTGAATTAGGAGATTGATGTAATAGTTAAACCTTTCGCACTGTAGATGATCATGAGTATTATTCTCTAAGCGCTAGTTGAACCCTTGCTATAGCATTCGGATTCCAGGGCTGTAGTAACGGGGTTTTAAATAGGTGGCTAAATGACGAGCAGCAAACTCAACTACCAATTGAACACCTCTTCAACAATCTCCTGATGATTATGCTCTTCCTGTATTTTCCGAGTGTAATGTAAGCGACCTCCTTTCGCATCGATCTTCAGGAGCGGCCGGGGTCTGGACACCTCCAATGGCTCAACGCCGTCGACGCAAGAATTTGTTACCCTCGACTCTCTCTCCTCAATTTGGATAACTCTCTCAGCGGCCTCTGCTGCTAACAAGCTGTTCCAAAGACCCTCTTGGCGGGATACTGAACGAAGAACAGCAATTGCTCTTTCACGAATCCCAAGGTCTCGGCTATTAGTGGCCACAGCATACATAGGGATAATGTAACCTGACTCTAAGCAGAATGAAGTTGTAGTTTCTCTGCTATCATTGTTGTATGAGATATATGAGACGATTTTCTCCCCCAATAGTACCATTTCTTCCAGTTGCGGCATGAACCTGTCCCATGTGGCGTTCGGACATTGAAGCTCGATTTCAAATGAAACCCAAGTGACTAGGGCATTTAGTTGGAGAACAACCGCGGCAAGTTCTTCGCTTTGCGTAAAATTTGCTCCTTTTAAGTGTATAAGCTCTTGAACCGCGAGACAGAACTTTGACATTAGATGTGCAAGGTGACTTTGTTGGCGCTTTACGGGGATATGAGGAAGCTGTACAGAGTCGTCTGATAGCTTAGCATCTAGAGTGCCGCTAAATAGACATGCGCCAAGTTCAAAGGTACTCTTAGCCTCATAAATACTAGAGAATGAGATAGGAGCGTCGCCATATATCTGTTCAGCATAGGAGGAGGAAGATTCAAGGAATGAACGCTGGTAATCTCCAATCACCTATGTTGAGTTTATTAGTCATATTGTAGCCTGAGAGGACAGCGGCGTGGGAACAAGAGAGATTAGAGACTATAGGACGAAAGAGGCTCGATATTACCCTCGATGCTTGCGAGTCCATCAATGCGAATACCTTTGTATAAGCCTCGAATGAATCAAAGGAATTGATGCGGTTTGTCGCTCCGAACTGTTCGTGATGCAGTACTCCGGTGTCCCGATCATATACCGTCTCCCGTAAGAGTTTCACACCACTTTGAATGTGAGTTATTGCTATAGTATGGTTTCCCTGTATATTCTGTAAAGTTTAAATGTCGACTATTAATATTTAATGATAGCACGATGATGAAGTACGAGGTAAACCTTACCTCGAAGCAAGCGAAAAGGATAGATAAAATCAAATAAATGTCAACGCCTCGCTGCTCCTTGCTCAATAACGGGTCTAATAGATGCCTGATGGCAAGGTTGTACTGCCCTAACGCAAAGGTTCCTCTTGCGTCTAACTTTGATATCTGTTGCACAGCTAGCTCGTGGCATGAGCCTATGGCGACAATAGCATGATGTACAGCTGGTTCATTATATGCAGCCTGAAGGACAAGCCGTTCCCAGAAGTCGGACCCGAAAAAGCCAGCTAGTTGTGAACACGTGCGCTGTACAAAAAATGCAAATGATCGTTTAGAGCGTGGGCAAGCCTGGATCTCGAAAGACGGCCCTTTTAGTATGGGCACCGGTGTCGTGGGTGTCTTGGCAGCATAGCCGTCACAGGCACGGCCCGTCGAGGTGCATCGGAGGCAAGCTGGTACTCCTTCATCACATTTGACTCGTCGTACTATCCCAGTGGTTAGGTTTAATATGCATGTTGGGTTACAATCCGCGGTTAAGTTACCTACTTTTACAAGTGAGGCATCCCGACTGAGTCTTTGGCCGATACGCCCGTTGTCTCTTACCCCTTTTAACCTTGGTCATTTAGAAATTCGGTTATTGCTCGTTAGATATTTTCGAGATTCAGCTAAAACGAGACGAGATAACAACATAAGAAGATGTCTGCGTACGAGAAGAGCTTGCGCTACCAGACATTCTCGCCCGAGTTTCACGCACCGTTATCCTGTACTATTTTGAGCACCTGGTGGATTATAATACCGTCAGCTCCTATAGCCCTGTAAGTCCCTTGTCCCTTGTCCCTTGTCTATATAGGTTAGTCTATTTGGTTTCCATGGGTGACTGAACAACTCCGATTGGCGTGCTCGTAAGGACCCTGTAACTCTTCGCTCCCCTGAACCCTGTCACCTTAACTCCCCAGTTACTCCTAAGATTAGGTAAACACGTAAATGAAGTAAGTTGTCTACTGAACTACGTCTACTATCATTGTTAAGCTCATCAGCATCATGGATTTAGCTTTCGTCACCTTTCTCCGTATTTCATTAAACACGGGACTCTAATGAAACGACTCAATGGGGGACTCAAGGATCATCGCTCAACTCTCGCTGCGGGTAGCATCGTAATGACCAATCCACCAAAGTCAGACTTCTCATAAGAAGCAGCATGGGGGCTTCCGTTTTACTTAATTAAACATTATTCTTCAAGTCTCCCTCAAACAATTCAAATAAACGCTCGTTTTTACTTAACTGACACTCATTTTACACAACTGGGACAATGGGCAAGTCTTTCTTTTTTGCCTTGCTAGACTTATTCTCTTTTGCAATGGCAGCATGCTCTCAGAATTGTACCTGGGACACTATAACTCCTTCGCAGTCTCTCGTTTGGTGCGCTTGCTACGATGGCTTCTTTTGTGCGAAATTAGATGTTAGTCTATCTGATATTACGATCTTTCCCCGATTCATTGCCAACTTGTCGCATAGGTACCTCTAGATTATCAAAACCTTGATCTTGGTCGAGCTTCGGTCCCTCTTATCAAATTACCGGCCAATTCCACATCTTCCTATGGCTCTTATCAAGGGATGATACTCATTAATCCTGGTGGGCCGGGAGGCTCGAGTGTAGACGAAGTTCAGAACTACGGAGTTGCGTATTATCAAGTCAGTCCCCTATCATCATTGTTTTATCCCCTAGACAATTTTTGAATCTGACAGCCTTTTTGGTGTCACCCCCATCACCAACTTACTAGCACTTCTCATACAAATATTTTGAAATTCTGATTTTGTAATCACTGACTTTCGCATTTTGACGTAGTCCGTGGCCGGTGATAACTGGGACATCGTGGGATTTGAACCCAGAGGAATATACCGCAGCGAACCTAACATTAACTGCTCAGCCACAGCCACTAGTACTCAAAATTCGACGTTGGACTCTCGATTCGTTCCCGAAGTGGCAGATGAGTTTTTCACTAGTTACATCGACACTGGAATCGAACTTGGTTACCAATGCCAGAAAGCTGTTGGTGGAGAAAAAGATGCCGGCCCACACATGTCGACTACGACAAATGCGCGGGACATGCTCAGCATCGTAGATGCTTTCGCAAAAACTACCGATGGCGAGAAAGCCGCGAAACCAAGCAATCTTCTGAATTACTTTGGTTACAGTTACGGAACGTTCCTAGGTCAGGTTTTTGCCTCAATGTTTCCTGACAGGGTAGGCAACATGGTTCTAGACGCTGTGTTGAGTCTCGATTTGCCATTGGGAGAGAATCTTACCGACATAACATCTCCAGCAGATGGAGTCATCGCTTCGTTCTTCATATATTGTTACGAAATCGGCTCGTCGCAATGTTCGTTTTATAGCGGCTCTTCTCCAGTAGATATGTTTAATCGGTTCAACGAATCATTCGTTAAATTAGATCCCCAAAGAGCGAAGGCCGAGAATTGGGCAAATGCAACAGACCTCGAGGCAGCATTGCTGACGCTAAAGACTACCTTCTATGACTCGGTGGCATCGCCAATCCTTGCCTTCAGCTCCCTATCCGACGCCTTGGTTGCGCTTGAACAGGCTATCGCCATCCAGGATGTCGCGGCATGGACTGAGCAAGTAGTGGCACTCATTGGAGACCCCAACCCGGCTGGCGATGCGAATGCAGAACTAAGACTTGGTACTCTGTGTACTGACCAGGGCAACAAATGGTATAACAAGACGTTAGAAGACCTGCTTCCTGCTATTGAGCATCTCAAGGAAGTGAGTATCATCGGAGAAATTGTTGTCAAGTCAATGCTTGGATGTCTCGGCTGGTCGATCGAAGCTACAGAAGTGTACTCTGGCCCGTTTGGTGGTGACACAGCGACCCCTATCTTGTTCGTCGGAAACACCTATGACCCGATTGCACCAGTGACAAAGTGAGTAGTCTAAACTTTACGGCGAGGTTGTAATGCTAACACTGTAAAAAAGCGCCTTAGAGGTGGTCAAAAACTACAAAAATGCCCAAGTAGTCACTGTTGACGCGGCCGGGGTAAGTGACGTCTTTTTACCTGGAAACGATCCTGTTCAATGCTAAAAGATCAAAGCACACTTCAAGAGTCACCGGAAACACTTGCCAGCAAGCAAAAGTAAACGCCTATTTTCAAAATACTCAGTTGCCTGGTAATGATTCTTACTGCGCCCTCGAGAGTGGTCCTTTTGGGGTCGTACTTAATGGGACGTTGGAGGATATTATTATCCAGGCGGGTTTGTCACAATTAGACAAATAATATAAGACTACAGGATACGGTGAAAGTCAGTCCACACATGAAGCTTCAATCGAGGCCTATGCACCTCAATCGTCGGATCTCCTTTCAGTAGTACTTCAATTTGAATAGTCTGGTTTATAGAGCGATTAATGTTGTCATTCTATTAGCGTCTTGTTCTCTACCTATTAGCATTGAAATTTCTCTACGGAAATACATCTGATATATTTCATAACGCATGATTTCAGCATACCGATACTCATTACGACGGCTTTCAAGCTGTTAGACTGGCATGCCGTTCTTAGTAGACATTAAGCTCAGTGACGTCACAATCACCGAATATCCTCGGTGGCGCAATTGGCTAGCGCGTCGTGAGTTTTACCTTGAACAATTATCCGATGTAGACTAGTCTCCTAACATATTATAGTGACTGTTAATCAGGAGGTTGAAAGTTCGAGCCTTTCCCGGGGAGTTCTTTTTCTATGGTTATTTTTTTGCACCTGGTTTAGTGGTAGTGTTTATGTTTTCGCCTATCCGACGAACAAACGCCAGCATGGTGTTTGAAAAACTTAGACATTTTCGGCTATAGTTGATTAAGGTATCGGGTCCTACACAGGGGGCGGCGCTAATATTGAGAGAGGAAGAAACAAGCATTAGAAGGCTCAGTTTTAAGATCTACTTCTTGGATAGCGGAGCCCCTGAATTTCACTGAAAAATTAGACCGGCGTTTTCTTGACCGTCATTACGGGCGAGGAAAGTCTGGTAGAGGATATCCGCAGGTCATCTTTCAGCAGATGGTGGACCTACGGCTTTCACGTTAGGGTTCTATCATGGCTTCTTATGGCATAGACGTTATTGAAGAGTGACCTACCTCTCCTTTAGTCTAATTTTACGAACAATAGTTGCGCTAGAGCTGTGTAGTAACCGTGCTAAGTAAGTAGTTATCGATAAGTCCGGCAGATAATAGTTGATAAATCAAGAATTAGCTAAGCCGCAAGTAATACGACTCTTCAAATTTAAATGCAACGTCGTCTTTTCTATTGCTCCCAAATGCTTCCAGCTTTGTCGGAAAGTTAGAGATGGACATAACGTTCCCATGCTACTGCAGACTAATCAATTCGCTAGTACAGTTTCCATCACCTCATATGGCATCTCTTGTTAAAACCAGTCTAGCCCATGGATATAAGGAGCCCGAATATTTCCTCAAGTTTTCTATGTACCTAGCCATCTAATCAAATGAATGCCGAAATGAATGCTCGAGCCTCCCCTATTCTACTGGGGAAAAAAACGTTATAGGGAAAAAATAAACTCCCCGGGAAAGGCTCGAACTTTCAACCTCCTGATTAACAGTCACTATTATATTGTCAGACTACAACGTCGTGCGTCTCATCTATGCAAGGTACCACTTACGACGCGCTAGCCAATTGCGCCACCGAGGACAACCGGTTGGTTGTTAACCATCGGCTTAGATACTACCATATACAACGTCTACCCCGCTACCCCGCTACCCCTCCAGTCCCTCACACATGATGCGTGGCCTCTTCTACCACGCCGTTGTGATCCCTCCTACTCACCTTACGGCACTACTAAAGTCTCCGATTCTGAGAGAACTGAAAGCTAAAGCCATAAAGCGCAAGCGTGACTGTATTGTAAGATCAGGGTCAAGCTTCCCCTATTGCCACCGCTCATATTACAGGCAGAACAGATGCCCTACTATATATTGTACAGATCTGAGTAGACAACGATTCCTACTCCTGACTGTGAAAAGGCAGAGTCCCTCTTTACGATCACCAATTCATCTATAAGAATGACTGTCAAAGTTTATGAGGTAGTATAAACAACGACAGCAAGTGCACCACAACCCCTAGCTTCAGAAAGACTGAAACCAGCGCATCAGCAATTTCAGAATTGATGATACATCTATGAGAGGGTGCTAGTGTGTGTGCTCTTAGATAGGTTTTATTACAAGACTGCGAGATCTGTCCTGATCACAGTCGATGGATGTCGTATCTGCAATCTTGTGTGTTCAATGCCATATACGGTAGAACCCCATGATTCCAGCACTCTAATTGTGGTTCTACGGATTGCAAATCTAATAGAGTCCTAATATTGGATCCAGCATCTGATCCTATTTCTAGGACTCTGATTGACTTCGATCTAGCAAAGCGGTAATAAGCCTTGCGATCCAACGTCTCTAATAGTGTAGAGGAGCGGTGTTAATGACAACAAGCGGTTTTACATACCGATCCTAACCGGCCTATACGCCTGCACCTATTAGGAAGATCATGATGCCTCCTCCACCAAGGCATAACCATCAGGAATGATGTGATATCCCGCCACAAAACGAGGCAAAATAAAAGGGGGAGATGAGGAGAAAAAATATGAAGCTCCCCGGGAAAGGCTCGAACTTTCAACCTCCTGATTAACAGTCACTATATTATCATTAGAATTCTATTGGATTTGATTTTTTATCTAAGACAACTTACGACGCGCTAGCCAATTGCGCCACCGAGGACGCTCAATTATTAATGAGATCCGGTTTTTATTATTTTTCATATCAAAGTCTCTGTGCATATCTCCGAGCTTCTGCCGCTCTCATCTCTCACAACTCCATCTATGACCACTGCATCACCACGACGAGTTAGTAGAGACCATTCTACTGAGTTTACATGCATAATTACATGAGATCCTTGATTGATAGGGGACTGAGGTCATTCTCGCAGGGACTTTACTGCTTTAGTAAGTACTGAATGTTAAATGCCTCCGCGGTGAAGGTTTTAGGTGGGAATTTAATGATACTGTAATGACGGAAAGGAGATGCTCAGTCTTATATATAGTTATGTATTATTATCGGCCGTATGTATGCTTCACTGCCTGGCTCACTGCCACCTTAACTTCTATTGCTGAAAGGAATGTAGACGAGGGATGTTTATACAAGTTGTAGTTCCATGTGGACTATCATATATTCCTAAGAGAGAAAGGCACAATTGCGAAGAAGAGAAAAAAAATTCGTGGGTGAATGACTTTGGAGATCCCGGTGAATGCACGCGCGCTTATTGTCGATGTGCCCGTCTTAATTATTATCGGATAGCTATTCCGCCCGTCTTGTAGATTGTTAGCGGACGAGATTGTCTGGCTCCGTGAACACAAGTCATACATATATCGGACCTTCGCTCTAGTGTAACGTTCAAGAACTTTTCGGTGTGTGCAACTCATTACCGGCAGGAAGTTCCACAGGTAATACCGGCGAACCAGGCGCCTCAATCCTGGGCTGCTCCCTAAGATAGAGAAGAGGATAATCAGCAAACCACTTGAATTTCCAGAAACGAAAGTGCGGTAAACGTACAGATGATGCCCCAGAGAAGTCTCAGACGGCATTGTGCTTTCAAAGCCTGGACGACAGAGTTGAAACGAACTCTGGCAGGGGCTCGTCATGGACGAGTTGAAGCTCCAATGGCTAGAATTTGTCGGTTGAGCGGGCATGGAATTTACGTGGTTCTGCAGTGGTGGACTCAAGAGGGTATTATCATAGCCTTCCTGAGGGCTAGGTTCGATTGTTATTGAAAGATTTTTGGGGTTGCTTTGAGTATTTCGCTGCCAGTTCTTCTCGAGTCGGCCCTGATGCCTGCAGGTGTATGCAAGGGTTCCTACTAGTAGTATGACGGCTATTGAGCTGATAACTATCCCTGCGATTTCCCCAATAGATAGAACGGGAATCTCGTAAGGACTTTTACTGTCGGGCGGTAATGACTCCGTCCCATTTGATTCCGAGGGTAACGGGTCGCCAGGTTGTAGTTCGAGGATACTGGGGTTGACTTGAATATGGTGATCAGTAATGGTTCTATGATAAGACAGCCTAAGGGTTCTAAAGCACTAGGAGCCTGAATTAAAGAATCGGCTGTGGAGGAGAATAGTCGTAAAAGGCGCTCACTAAAAGAATTTTGCTTGTCCAATGTCCATGTACTGTTCTGCGAAGGCGTGAGAATATGATACTACTTAATCTTTGAGTGGGTTGTCATACAGGGTTAATCACCCCGATCATTCTGTTTCCTTTGCAGGAGTTGGCTGGTGAACTAGGCATGCTGTTAACATCGTATCCATACACACTACAGAGGCCCACAAACCAATAGAAGAAAACTGGTTCTGTGTCATTGACCGTGATGGTGAACGTAGGGCGCGAGTTCGTGGTTACATTGAGTATATCGCCGCTCCAAAATCCTGCGTGCTCTGGAACTATATACTCGTAGGGCATGCACTTCAAGGTAAATAATTAGCAACTTCTATTAAAGGAAGAGAAAAGGAAAAGGAAGGAAAACGATGAACGAGTTTCGGTCCTACTCACAGGGAATCCAAACGCCGAGCGAGCAACTGAGTGGCCATCTGACCAGAACTCGAATGCTAACGAGCCTGTTAGAGATCCGTCTTCGCTGATGGATAATGTGTCGTACCTATCTCGTCTCCAGGGTCTGCCGTGATCGTGTCCGGAACAAACGTAAACGATCCCTAACAAATTGTTAGTGCGGAGAGAACTTCAGAGTATCAGATCAATAGTAGGAGTACCTTGCCGACCGCGACGACAATCTTAGAGTTATTTTTTGATAGTCCTGGGGGGTCTTCCGAAGTTCCAGCAGTGGGTGACGACGCGACAATCCCAGACAACCACGTGGCTGTAAAACACAGACGTGAAAACAACATGCTGGCTCAACGCAGAAGTTGGCAATTCTCAAGCGAGATATAGCCGATTATCACGCTCTGTAGTGGGACTCGAAGTTGGTACGCTTTGTATACCATGAACGAACAATATAGAGGTTTCTTTCCTAGTTGAAGAGGTGATATGATCGATATTACCGCGAGAAATCCATGATCTACTTTCCCTGATGGCAACTTGAGAGACGTCTCTTCTCGGATGTAGCATGGTATTATCCGTCCATAATCTGGCCATCATCTGTTACACACGATCGCAAGGCGGTAGGCTAATTTCAGATCGAACGGTGCCACAATGACCGGTCTTGATGATGTTTGCTTTATTCTATTAGATGGCCAGGATGGTTAATTAGGTTCCGGTTGTCGGTAACAGGATAGTCCCCGAGCAGCCAAAAACGTACGGGTTCATCTACTTACGATCGTAACATGCCCAGCAATGTCGCGTGGCATCGGCATGGCTCATCAAACCCGCTACTTCGGTTCGAAGCTGAAAAAAAAAGAGATAGAAAACTGCAGGGAACAAGTATAAATGAGATTCTTATCCCTTCGCCACGCTCCTGGGTGATTTATCAGCTAATTACTTGCATTTATGTGCCATCCATCTCTTCACCGCTGCAACCAGTTCATTGAAGGTAATGGCAAGTCGAAGCATAATATCGCAAGCTTTTGTGACGTGAGATCCTAATAAATAACTCATACTGGGCGGACAGCTTGGCCCTGTAAAGCTTGTCGGTATTATCCAAACTCGTCTATTTCACGAGATACGTCATCAGCATTCAAGCTCCATCATAAACATTGATTAAGAATACTTTATTGATCAAGAGTTGCCATACAAGTGGTAGGGTACGCCCAAGAGCTTTGAGATCGGGTTAACCCTTACAAGGGACTTCAAAGCTGTGCAATGGACAAAGTAGGAATAGGCCGATTCACGTAGAGAATGTCAACTATTAGGTTTTGACATGATAACTCGTCGCAATATGCGATATTTCAAATCTTCCTTGGGGTATCAACTATAGTACAAACGGAGTTAGATCTCGTAGTTTTGATGAAATCACTAGAGAGTGATTATTTGGTCTTAATCTTGTGCTTGCTGGCCCCTAAGAGCGAAACAGGTATGAGGCCGCATTCCTGAGCCAGTTTCCATAGGCACCACACGTAGCAGAGGGCAAACCCAGCGAAACCTACGCCAACGTTGGCAACAACCCAGAGATCTGGTTTATCGAAAGGGGGTGTTATAGTCCGTTCCGCAACGTGCCAAGCAGCCATGGCGAAATAGAAGAGACCATGGATTAGAAGTGTCGCCCATTGAACTGCAGTATTCTGGCCTTTTTGGAAATACGCACTCAAGGAAGTGGGCGGTAGGCCTAGCAAGTATGCCCAAAGGAGCGTAAGTACGGCATAGGGGACCCGCAGATCGACCCGCTGAAGCAGTGGAAACATCGTCCACGCTCCGAGAATATTTGCGAATCCCACCCATGATCTGACTTCTTTACCCAAGCCTTGCTTGCCAGCAAGAAGGAGAGTCATGGGGAGAAGCGGGAGCAGAACGCTTTTCTCATGGACCTGGTAGCTGAAGAGGAAGAAGCCCCATGCTGTTGCGGCAAAAGCATAAGGTAAAAGTTCTTTATGGGGTCTGGAGAGAAGCATGATGCAGGGTGGTGAAATTGAAATGAGCGTCATCAGTAGAGAAGCTCTTTGAAGAAGTTCAGCAGGATAGGCACGTAGTTTGATAACTAGATTCGCCGCACACCAGAAATTGGCAACCTTGTCCTCGAATAAGCCTCGGGCAAAGGGGAAGACTCGGTGTATCATCTGAACAATCTGCTCGACGACGGGATAGTAGGTAGCAGACGTGTCAAGGTAGGGGGAAAGAAAGGTGAAAATAGGAAGCGGCGCGTGATAGCCTTCAAGGTCGGGTTGGGCGGCAATACCCCTGCTCGCATCATGGAGGGCACCTAGAACAAATGGAAGAACCAAAATCGCGAAAGACGCTATGGTCACGGCAGCAATGCCAAAAAACCGCGGGAAATGGGCTTCAGGGAAAAAACTGTTACCCAATAAGAAGGCAAAGACAGCGGGAGCGTAATACAAGGCCATCTGCTTGAAACCAAGTGCGGCAACAAAAAAGATGGACGCCCACATGTACCGGTTAGCCAGCATGCTGGACATACTAGCAACTACAAAGCCGAGCATCACAGTATTGTACTGAAAGTGGACATGATCGATGAGGATGGTGCCCGGCTGCATGAGAATAGCGACAAGCGCAAGCGAGGCAGGCCATTGCGTCACGCCGAAAAGCTGGCTGTACCTTCGAGTAAAGACAACGACGGCCGGGATGTAAATCAGATATTCAGAGACGAAAACCGAGGCTCTCATGAAGATTTTCAGCGTGGGATCGTCCGAGCCTCGCGACGTGTAGAGAGCGAACCACGAGGGATCGATGAAGGAGCCGACGTGACCGAGCAGCCAGCTGTGGTACGCCGTGAGAGGAGGATAATCGAGCCCCCACCATTGCAGGTCGTGGAAGTACCATTGCGAGATGGGTAGCTGCGTAGTTATTTCCATCCAGTGTCTTTGGGCCTCGTAGTCGCCAAACATGGGAGGTTTATGGAGACCTAGAAGGCGAGCGTCAGCGTCAGCGCGCGACAACGGCGAGAGACAGAGAGACAGAGAGACAGGGGCATTGTTCGAAATAGAGACATTGTACGAACCCGAATATCCCCATAAGCCGGCAGCCCAGCGGAAGAGGCCAACGGCCATGAGAACCAGCGGTAGGACTTCCCATTGCGAGAGGGACGACCGCGCGGGCCA